TACTAAAAATACAAAAGTTAGCTGGGCATGGTGGCACGTGCTTATAGTCCCAGCTACTCAGGTGGCTGAGGCAGGAGAATCAGTTGAACTCGGGAGGCAGAGGTTGCAGTGCTCTGAGATCGCACCACTGCACTCCAGCCTGGGCAACAGAGAAAGACTCCATCTCAAATAAAAAATATAAAATAAAAAAATATATGCTTATTTATTTTTTATTTTTTAAAAAAGCAAAAAATAAAAAAATAAAAAAGAAAGAAAAGAAAGAAAGAAGTCATCTTTCTAACATAAAAGTACAAGGTGAAGTAGTGAGTGCGGACGTAGAAGCTGCAAGTTATCCAGAAGATCTAGTTGAGACAAACTGATGAAGGCAACTACTCTAACCAACAGATTTTCAGTGTAGACAAACAGCATTATATTGGAAGACATTACCATCTAGGACTTACATAGGTAGAGAGAAGTCAATGCCTGGCTTCAAAGGACATGTCAACTCTCCTGCTAGGGGTTAATGGAGCTGGTGACTTTAAGCTGAAGTCAGTGTTCATTTATCATTGTGAAAATCCTAAGGCCCTTGAGAGTTACGCTAAATCTACTCTGCCGCTGCTCTATAAATGCAACAACAAAGCCTGGATGATAGCACACCTGTTTTCAGCACAGTTTACTGAGTATTTTAAGCCCACTGTTGAGAACTACTGCTTAGGAGGAAAAGAAAAGATGCAAGTGTTAACAACCCTTTTAGAATTTGTCTAGCAGGCTTTCTGGTTTTTGCTGGAAAGTGTCCCCTGCCCAAAAGAAACAAACAGCAACAACAAAAACCCTTTCAAAATATTGTTGCTCATTGACAATGTACCTGGTCACCCAAGAGCTCTGATGGAGACGTACAAGATTAATATTCTTTTCACACTTGCTAATACAACATTCATTCTAAAATCACTCCAGGAGTAACTTCGACTTCCAGGTCTTTTCTTTTTTCTCAGGTTTTTTAAATTTTATTTTTACAATAGGCATGAACTGGCATAAGCTACCACACCCAGCCCCATGCTTTATTATTTAAGAAACATTTTAAGGCCATCAATAGTAATTCCTTAGCAGATCTGGGCAAAGTGAACTGACAACCTTCTGGAAAAGATTCAGCATTCTAGATGCCATTAAAAACATTTGGGATTTGCCAGAATGGTGGCTCATGCCTGTAATCCCAACACTTTGGGAGGTAGAGAGAGGCAATCACTTGAGCCCAGGAGCTAAAGACGAGTTCAGGTGAAACAACAGCAACAAAAGATTAGCTGGGTGTGGTGACACACACCTGCAGTCCCGGCTACTCAGGCTAAGGCAGGAGGATCAGTTGAGCCTGGGGAGGTCAAAGCTGCAGTGAGCCAAGATTACACCACTGCATTCTAGCCTGGGTGACAGAGTGAGACCCTGTCTCAAAAAACAAATAAATAAAAGAACATCTGGGATTGATGAGAGAAAGTCATTATCAATATTAATGGAATATGAAAAAGATGATTTCAACCTTCACGGATGAGTTTGACGGGCTCAAGACTTCAGCACAGGAAGTAACTGCAGATGTGCTGAAAATAGCAAGAGAACTAGACTTAAAAGTGGAGCCTGGCCATGCGCAGTAGCTCACGTCTGTAATCCGGGCATTTCGGGAGGCTGAGGCAGGTGGGTCACTTGAGGTCGGCAGTTTGAGATCAGCCTGACCACCATGACAAAACCCTGTCTCTATTATAAAATACAAAAATTAGTTGGGCGTGGTGGTGCGCACCTGTAATCCCAGCTACTTGGGTGGCTGAGCTAGGAGAACTGCTTGTACATGGGAGGCAGAGGTTTCAGTGAGCCAATCATGCCACTACACTCCAGCCAGAGTGACAGAGCAAGACTCTGTCTCAAAAAAAAAAAAAAGAAAGGAAAAAAGAAAAAAGAATCAGACACAAATAGTATATATATAAATTTTTTTTGAGATGGAGTCTCACTCTGTCACTAGGCTGGAGTGCAGTGGCACAATCTTGGCTCACTGCAACCTCCACCTCCTGGGTTCAAGCGATTCTTCTGCCTCAGCCTCCCAAGTAGCTGGGATTACAGGTGTGTGCCACCACACCCAGCTAATTTTTGTATTTTTAGTAAAGACAGGGTTACAAAACATTGGTCTGGCTGGTCTCAAACTCCTGACCTCGTGATCCACCCGCCTTGGCCTCCCAAAGTGCTGGGATTACAGGCATATGCCACCGCGTCTGGCCCACAAATAGTATTTTTATCAAATTGTGTTCAAGGCATTAATGGATCCTCTGAAATTCTCTAAGTTCATTGTCCTCTGTATATTTCAGTCTACTTAGTTAGAAATATTATTTAGCCGGGCGCGGTGGCTCAAGCCTGTAATCCCAGCACTTTGGGAGGCCGAGGCAGGTGGATCACGAGGTCAGGAGATCGAGACCATACTGGTCAACATGGTGAAACCCCGTCTCTACTAAAAATACAAAAAATTAGCTGGGCATGGTGGCACATGCCTGTAATCCCAGCTACTGAGGAGGCTGAGGCAGGAGAATCGCTTGAACCCAGGAGGCGGAGGTTGCGGTGAGCCGAGATCGCGCCATTGCACTCCAGCCTGGGTAACAAGAGTGAAACTCCGTCTCCAAAAAAAAAAAAAAAAAAAAAAAAAGAAATATTATTTAAAAGTTCAAAATTTTGTAGAATATTATTTTTTAGAGATGGGTCTCATCCTGCTGCCTAGGCTGGAGTGCAGTGGTACAATCATAGTTTACTGCAGCCCTGAACTCCTGGGGCTGAGGCCGCAGTGAACTATGATCACTGTAGGGGATCTAATGATCCTCCCACCTCAGCCTCCCAAGTCGCTGGGATTAAAGATGTGCACCACTATACCCTGTCAAACATTTTTTTAAAAAGTTCTATATTTTTCAAAATGTTAAGCCTAGCATTTAGCTCCGTGTGTTGGTGAACACCTATAGTCCCAGCTACTCGGGGGTCTGACACAAGAGAATCGCTTGAACCCGGAAGGCGGTGGTTGCAGTGAGCCGAGGCTGCACCATTGCACTCTAACCTGGGTGAGAGTGAGACTCCATCTCCAAAAAGTAAAATAAAATAATAAAAAATTAAAAATCGCTGGGTGCAGTGGCTCACACCTGTAATCCTAGCACTTTGGGAGGCCGAGGTGGGAGGCCGAGGTGGGCTGGGTGGATCACCTGAGGTCAGAAGTTCAAGACTAGCCTGGCCATCACCGTGAAACTCCATCTTTAAAAAAAAAAAAAAAAAAATTAAAAATCAACTTTCTGGCTTGGTGTGGTGGCTGTAATCCCAGAACTTTGGGAGGCCAAGGAGGGAGGACCACTTGAATCCAGGAGTTTGAGACCACACTGGGCAATATGGCAAGACCTCGTCTCTACAAAAATAAAAATAAAAATTGCTAACTGGCCGGGCGCGGTGGCTCAAGCCTGTAATCCCAGCACTTTGGGAGGCCGAGGCAGGTGGATCACGAGGTCAAGAGATCGAGACCATCCTGGTCAACATGGTGAAACCCCGTCTCTACTAAAAATACAAAACATTAGCTGGGCATGGTGGTGCGTGCCTGTAATCCCAGCTACTCAGGAGGCTGAGGCAGGAGAATTGCCTGAACCCAGGAGGCGGAGGCTGCGGTGAGCCGAGATCGCACCATTGCACTCCAGCCTGGGTAACAAGAACAAAACTCTGTCTCAAAAAAATAAATAAATAAAAAAAAATAAAAATTGCTAAGCATGTTAGGGTACACCTGGCTATTTTTATTTTGGGAGGCTGGGGCAGGAAGACAGAGAGCTTGGGCCCAGGAGGTCAAGGCTGTCATAAGCTATGACTATGCCACTGCATTCCAGCTTGGGCAACAGAGCAAGACCCTACCTCTAAAAACAAAATAAATAAATAAGAATAAATCAACTTCTTAAATTTAGTAACATCTGAAGTAGTATCTGTGAAATCAGTTCTGATGTCCTGGTTATTATTTTCCTGCCTCACATTAAAATAAACACACACTTATTGAAATATCTTTAGATCCCACTGGTGACTAAGTTTTATATCACGAAGAGCACAGTCCTGTCTCTGCAGTGACTCTGGGATTTCTGTAGGATAAGCAATAATGTAGACATTAAGACAAGTTTTTTTTTTTTGTTTTTTGTTTTTTTTTTTAACCCAGAAGGAAACTTGAAAGTATTTAGTCCATTCCTCTAACGTTATACATTAAAAAGCTGAGACCTGGCCAGGCACAGTGGCTCACACCTGTAATCCCAGCACTCTGGGAGGCCGAGGAGGGTGGATTACAAGGTCAGGAATTCAAGACTAGACTGGTCAACATGGTGAAACCCCAACTCTAACAAAAAAATAGAAAAATTAGCTGGGCATGGTGGCTCATGTCTGTAATCCCAGCTACTTGGGAGGCTGAGGTAGGAGAATTGCTCGAACCGGGACCTGGGAGGCGGAGGTTGCAGTGAGCCGAGATCATGCTATTGCACTCCAGCCTGGGCTACAGAGCAAGACTCCAACTCAAAAAAAATAAAAAGCGCCGGGCGCGGTGGCTCAAGCCTGTAATCTCAGCACTTTGGGAGGCCGAGGCGGGTGGATCACGAGGTCAAGAGATCGAGACCATCCTGGTCAACAAGGTGAAACCCCGTCTCTACTAAAAATACAAAAAATTAGCTGGGCATGGTGGTGCCTGCCTGTAATCCCAGCTGCTCAGGAGGCTGAGACAGGAAAATTGCCTGAACCTAGGAGGCGGAGGTTGCGGTGAGCTGAGATCGCGCCATTGCACTCCAACCTGGGTAACAAGAGCAAAACTCCGTCTCAAAAAAAAATAATAATAATAAAATAAAAAGCTGAGACCCAGAGAGGTTAAGTGATTTGTCAAAGGTTGCATGGGAAGTTTAATCAAATGTCTAAGATTAACATTCAGGAGGGCTTTCTATTCTATTGTGTCCCTTTGAATCACAGAAGAATAATGCAGTAATTTTTCATCTGTTACCTACCTCACTCTTCCATTCAGATTTATCTGAACATGCTGCTTAAAATCTGGATATTTGGATGCCAGATATGCAAAGTCAGGAGGTTTGTCCTTGTATCTATTTCTTGCATGCATTGATTTGCTCAGAGCCATCTTAAGGAGAGAAAGAAAGAGAGAAAAATCAGCATATTTATTAAAAATCATTAATGAGAGTCAGGCACAGTGGCTCACACCTCTAATCCCAGAAACAGGAGAGGCCAAGGAAACCCTGTCTCTACTAAAAATACAAAAATTAGACAGGCGTGGTGTTGGGAGCCTGTAATCCCAGCTACTCAGAAGGCTGAGGCAGAAGAATTGCTGGAACCCGAAAGGAAGAGGTTGCAGTGAGCCAAGATCTTGCCACTGCACTCCAGCCTGGGCAACAAGAGTGAAGCTCCATCTCAAAAAAAAAAAATTTTTAATGGGGAAAGCTGTGAATGCCAAGTTAATAGTTACAGCCAACATATATTTGCTGATCGAGTGAGAAAGCAGAAATTACATTTTAAAAATGTATACAACAAATAAGCACATCAAGAGATGGTCAGCATCATTAGTCATCAGGGAAATACAAATCAAACCACCTGAGATACCACTGCATACCCACTAGGATGACTTTTTTTTTTTTTTTTTTTTTGAGACGGAGTTTCATTCTTGTTACCCAGGCTGGAGTGCAATGGCACAATCTCGGCTCACTGCAACCTCTGCCTCCTGGGTTCAGGCAATTCTCCTGCCTCAGCCTCCTGAGTAGCTGGGATTACAGGCATGCGCCACGATGCCCAGCTAAATTTTTGAATTTTTAGTAGAGACGGGGTTTCACCATGTTGACCAGGATGGTCTCAATCTCTTAACCTCGTGATCCACCTGCCTCGGCCTCCTAAAGTGCTGGGATTACATAGGATGACTATTATCAACAAAAAACAAAAATAAAAGATAACAGAAACAACAAGCATTCTGCAAGGATGTGAAGAAGCTGGAGTTCTCGTGCATTGCTGGTGGGAATGTGAAATGGCACAGCTGCTGTAGAAAAAAGCTGGGCGGTTCTTTAAAAAGCTAAACATGCCGGGCGCGGTGGCTCAAGCCTGTAATCCCAGCACTTTGGGAGGCCGAGGCGGGTGGATCACGAGGTCGAGAGATCGAGACCATCCTGGTCAACACGGTGAAACCCCGTCTCTACTAAAAATCTAAAAAATTAGCTGGGCATGGTGGCGCGTGCCTGTAATCCCAGCTACTCAGGAGGCTGAGGCAGGAGAATTGCCTGAACCCAGGAGGCGGAGGTTGCGGTGAGCCGAGATCACGCCATTGCCATTGCACTCCAGCCTGGGTAACAAGAGCGAAACTCTGTCTCAAAAAAAAAAAAAAAAAAAAAAGCTAAACATAGAATTATGATCTGATTCACCAATTCCACTCCTAGGTATATTCCCAAAAGAATTGAGAGGAACTGTAAGAGATATTTGTACACCAATGTTCAAAGTAGTGTCATTCACAAGTGTTTAGGTGGGAACAACCCAGGTGTACATCAGCAGATGAAGATGGATAAATGAAATACGGTATATTCATACAATATTATGCAGCCATGAAAAGGAATGAAACTGATACATGCTACAACATGGAAGAACCTTAAAACATGATGCTAAGGGAAATAAACCACATATAAAAGGACAAGTATTGTATGCTCCCACTTATATGAGGCACCTCAAAGAGGTAAATTTATTACATAGACAGAGAGAGGTAATGAGGGGTTGGGGGAGGGAAAACGAGGAGTTACTGTTTAATAGGTACAGAGTTTCACTTTGGGATGATGACAAAGTTCTGGAGATAGAGGTGATGGTTGCACAAGAGAATGAATATATACACACAGACATACACACACACACACACACACACACACACACACACTCTTTTTTTTTTTTTTTTTTTGAGATGGGAGTCTCGCTCTTTAGCCCAGGCTGGAGTGCAGTGGTGAAATCTCGGCTCACCGCATCCTCTGCCTCCTGGGTCCCAGTTCAAGCAATTCTCCTACCTCAGCCTCCCAAGCAGCTGAGATTATAGGCACGAGCCACCATCCCCAGCTAATTTTTGTATTTTTTAGTAGAGATGGGGTTTTACCATATTGACCAATCTGGTCTTGAACTCCTGACCTCATGATCCACCCGCCTCAGCCTCCGAAAGTGCTGGGATTACAGGCATGAGCAATCAAGCCCAGCAGAGAATGAATATATTTAATGTCACTGAATGGTACACTTAAAATAGCTAAAATGGACCAGCGTGGTGGCTCTTGCCCGTAATCTCAGCACTTTGGGAGGCAGAGAGCTCCAGATCGGCCTGATCAACATGGAAAAACCCCATCTTTACTAAAAATACAAATTAGCCTGGCATGGTGGCACATGCCTGTAATCCCAGCTACTCGGGAGGCTGAAGCAGGAATACTACTTGAACTTGGGATGTAGATGTTACGGGGAGCCAAGATCACACCATTGTACTCCAGCCTGAGAACAAGAATGAATCTCTGCCTCAAAACAAAACAAAACAAATGACTAAAATGGTAAATTTTATGTTATGTATATTTTACCACAATTTTTAAAATGTAGACAACATAAGGGTGAATCTTTCTTTTTTAAATCAAGAGAAGAAAGCTGAAAATTACTCCTTTAAGAGAATCAAAGTGACAGAAGACAGTATGATCTACAGCCAAGAATATTAGTTAGAAGTTAGTTTTGTCTTGAGACAGGGTCTCACTCTGTCATCCAGGGTGTAGGGCAATGGCACCATTATAACTTACTGCAGCCTCCACCTCCTGCGCTCAAGCAATCCTTCCACCTCAGGCTCTCGAGTAGCTGGGACTATAGGTACATGCCACCATGCCACCACAGCTGGCTAATTTATTTTTAATTTTATTTTTGTAGAGACAATGTCTCCCTTTGTTGCCCAGATTGGTCTCCAACTCCTGAGCTCAAGTGATCCTCCTGCCTCAGCCTCCCAAAGGGCGACGACTACAGACATGAGCCACTACACCCAGCCTGGAGGTTAGTTTTTATAGTGGCCTTACAAAGACTGAATATTCGGAGTGCACCATAACATCACTAAAGTTTGAAAAAATATCTTTGATTCCAACTTAAAGTTTCAATCCATTCCTAGGTAGCTAAAACCAAATAAAATCAAACATAAATTTGTCTTCTTCCAAATTACAATAAAAAAGAAAAGTGAATGTATTTATATCAAGAAATAAAAACTGAAAGAGAAACTATTATAGTGGTTTAGTAAATCTCCAGATAGTTGGTAATTTAAAAAAGTATTTTACTATGCCAGATGCGGTGGCTCACACCTGTAATCCCAGCACTTTGAGAGGCTAAGGCAGGTGGATCACAAAGGAGTTCAAGATCAGCCTGGCCAATATGGTGAAACCCCGTCTCTACTAAAAATACAAAAAGTAGCTGGGCATGGTGGCGGGCGCCTGTAGTCCCAACTACTCAGGACACTGAGGCAGAAGAATTGCTTGATCCTGGGAGGCAGAGGTTGCAATGAGCCAAGATCAAGCCATTGCACTCCAGCCTGGGCAACAAGAGAGAAACTCTGTCTCAAAAAAAAAAAAAAAAAAATTTACTATTATATATATCTCTAGGTAGTAAGTGACTTTTATTTTCTTAATATCTTTCTGTATTTTCTACTTTTTAAATAATGATAATTCTTCTAAACAGTATTATATAAGCAAAAAACCTAGGACTCACCTGATAGTTTCTCATATCCAAGAAATCACCAATCCTGTAGGTTTTACCTGCTAAATACCTCTTAAATCCATCATCTATCCCCAACAATGCCAAGCACAGAGGTCTCTCTCTCTTTTTTTTTTTTTTAAGATGCATGGTTTCACTATGTTATGTATATTTTGAGGTTGGTCTTGAACTCCTGGCCTCAAGCAACTCTGCCACTTTGGCCTCCTAAAGTGCTAGGATTATAGCCATAAGCCACCACGCCCGGCCAGAACAGCCTTTTTATTTATTTATTTTTATTTTATTTTAGAGACTACATTGCCCAGGCTGGACTTGAATTCCTGAGCTCAAGTAATCCTCCTACGTTGGCCTCCCAAATAGCTGAGACTACAGGTGTGCACCACTGCACCTGGCTTACAGTAGCCTCTTAACCGATCTCCCTGCATCCACTCTTGTTCTTGCTATCCTTCCTTCCACCTTGAAGTGATCATTGCTAAACTCAAATCTCAGTATGTTCTTCTACTATGTCCACCTGCTCAAAACCTTACTCTTTTTTTTTTTTTTTTTTTTTTTTTGAGATGGAGTTTCGCTCTTTTTACCCAGGCTGGAGTGCAATGGTACGATCTCGGCTCACCACAACCTCTGCCTCCTGGGTTCAAGCAATTCTCTTGCCTCAGCCTCCTGAGTAGCTGGGATTACAGGCACGCGCCATCATGCCCAGCTAAAAAACCTTACTCTTAAAATAAAATAAAAAAAGATCACTTCAGCATACATATTAGGCCCCACATGACCTGGCTTTATCTGCGTTTTCACTATCAGTTTAAGCCACACGCCCTTGCTCTTTCTGTTCTTGCACCCTGACCGCACGGCTTTCATGCAGGCTATTCTTTTTATCTGTAATGTTCTCTCCTCCCTCTCTTCAGCTGAAATTCTTAGTCATCCTGAAGCTCACAGTTCAAGCACCTCATCTTCAGGAAGGTCTTTCCTTCCCTAATCTCCCCAGTTAAGACAATCCTCTATTACATCTCCTAGCAATAAACGCCTTTCCTTTGCAAGCTTTGTTAGAGATAGAATTTTACATAGTAATAAATCTGTCAACGCTATTTCAGATGGTTTTTTGACAGCTTCCTACACTGGAAATTAAACCAATTTCAAAAAAGAAGTGTTGTCTTCAATCCAGACTTTTCCAAATCACATATCCAACTGCCTACCATATTTTTCACTTAAAAGGCTCAAAAATACATGCACAACATGTGCAAAATCAAATCACTTCTACCCACCCCAAACTGGTCCTCCTCATCTTCCCTATCTCACCGAATGCACCACTATCTCTCTTGTGATACACACATCAAAAATCTCCAACACCTTCTCCACGCTGCCTCCCCCATTCACAACACACCATGTCCTGAATGCTATCTCCCAATTATTTCTTGACCCATTCCACTTTTCACCCTTCACAGCACCACCTCTCTGGCCCAGATCATTACCATCTCTTTCTTGGGTTGCTCTAAGAGCTTCAAACTGATCTCTCTTTATAACCACTCTTGCCTTCTACAAGCCATTTTTCACTCAGCAGACAAGTCACTCCCCTCATGCAAATGTAAACATTTCCTTACTAAATCCCTTCAGTGGCAGCCCAATTAGGCTAATAAAGTCTAAAATCACTAACTAACAACGTGTGCATAATCCAGGCCTTATCTGTCCCTCCAACTTCATTTGTGGCCACTCTCCCTTCCAGACATACTGGTCTTCTTTCTTCTCTGCTGCATGGTAGTCTGTTTCACCACCTGCTATTCTTATTGGCTGCCAGACTCTCCTCACCCTCTCACCATCTTCTTTCATCTCTGAAGGCTCAAATCACACATCAGGCATCACTTTCTCAGCCAGGCTTTCTCTGACCCCACCATCTACTCAGATGCCCATCTACATGCTTCCAAAGCACCCTGTTCTGCTTCTCCCTCAGAGAGCTTCAGTTTACGATTGCATATGTAATTGATTTGCACATGTCACACACAAACCTGCAACCACAGCCATCCTAATCTTCACTATACTCCCGGCAACTTGTATACAATAAATATTTGTTGAGTAAACAATTCAGAATTTGAGGGAATTAGCAGTCAGCTGCAAGTTTTTCTTTTTTTCTTTTTTCTTTTTTTTTTTTTTTTTTTTTTTTTGAGACGGAGTTTCGCTCTTGTTACCCAGGCTGGAGTGCAATGGCGCGATCTCGGCTCACCGCAACCTCCGCCTCCTGGGTTCAGGCAATTCTCCGGCCTCAGCCTCCTAAGTAGCTGGGATTATAGGCACACGCCACCATGCCCAGCTAATTTTTTGTATTTTTAGTAGAGACGGGGTTTCACCATGTTGACCAGGATGGTCTCGATCTCTCGACCTTGTGATCCACCCGCCTCGGCCTCCCAAAGTGCTGGGATTACAGGCTTGAGCCACTGCGCCCGGCAGAGCTGCAAGTTTTTCAGCATACTGTTACTAAATTTTGCCCCTCACACTATGACTAAAACTGAGCATATACCTGTTTTAATTTCCTAGCATTGATGTACCCTTTACTGACCATCAAGAAAGCGGGGAGCATAGAACTAGGATGGACCTCAGTCCTCAAGAAAACATAAACTGGGCAAGGCGGTGTGTGCCTCTGATCTTAGCTACTAGGGAGGCTGAAGATGGCTTGAGCTCCCAGGAGTTCCAGTCCACTCCAGCCTGGGCAACACAGTAAGACCCTGTCTCAAAATAAACAAATACAAATAATAGACTTTATTAAAAAGAAAACATCAAAAATGAAAGTGTCAGCCAGGTGTGGTGGCTCATGCCTGTAATACTAGCAGTTCGGGAGGCAGAGGCAGGAGGATCATCTCAGATCAGGAGTTTGTGAGACCAGCCTGGCCAACATGGTGAAGAAACACCATCTCTACTAAAACACAAAATACAAAAATTAGCCAGACGTGGTGGTGGGCACCTATAATCCCAGCTACTTGAGAGGCTGAGGCAGGAGAATCACTTGAACCTGGGAGGCGTAGGCTGCAGTGAGCCAAGATCACGCTACTGCACTCCAGCCTGCGTAACAGAATAAGATCCATCTCAAAAAAGGAAAAAGAAAATGCCTTTCCTTGTGATTCTGGCAAGGAACAAAAAAGAAAACTACACTAAGAGTAATTTCTTTAAGCTGATAGAAAATATTTTACACCCAGCCAGGCGCGGTGGCTCAAGCCTGTAATCCCAGCACTTTGGGAGGCCGAGGCGGGTGGATCACGAGGTCAAGAGATCGAGACCATCCTGGTCAACATGGTGAAACCCCGTCTCTACTAAAAATACAAAAAAACTAGCTGGGCGTGGTGGTGCATGCCTGCAATCCCAGCTACTTAGGAGGCTGAGGCAGGAGAATTGCCTGAGCCCAGGAGGCGGAGGTTGCGGTGAGCCAAGATCGCGCCATTGCACTCCAGCCTGGGTAACAAGAGCGAAACTCCATCTCAAAAAAAAAAAAAAAAGAAAATATTTTACACATTTATGTGGGACATGTGACATTTATGTATATTTGTTATACACATAGAATGTGTGATGACTGGCTGGGTGAGGTGGCTCATGCCTGTAATCCCAGCACTTTGGGAGGCCAAGGCGGGCAGATTACCTGAGGTCAGGAGTTCAAGACCAGCCTGAACAACATAGTGAAACCGCATCTCTACTAAAAATACAAAAAAAGTAGTCGGGCATGGTGGTGGGCACCTGTATTCTCAGCTACTCAGGAGGCTGAGGCAGGAGAATCCCTTGAACCCAGGAGAAGGTTGCAGTGAGCCAAGATCATGCCATTGTACTCCAGCCTGGGTGACAAAGCAAGACTCTGTCTTAAAAAAAAAAAAAAATGTGTGATGATCAAGTGATCAGCTCACAGTATGTGGGGTATACATCACTTTGAGTACATTTTTTTCTGGTTCGAGTTCTCTCATAAGGTTGCACACTTTGAGGATTTTTTATATCTATGTGTTGCTAACATTTCAAGCCCTCTCTTCTAGTGATCTGGAAATATACATTGTTGCCGACTATAGTCATCATATCCTAACAGTGACTTCAAGAGACAGTGGCATGTTAGGGGTCTGCAACACATTAAGGAAAATTCTAGACTACATAGCTGACAGTGCACATGCAACATGATACTCTGAACATATGTGAAACAAATTAAATTACAGATATGGCAGATACGATTCATTTCCTATGTTATTCAACTTTTCTTGTCAGAACAGATACAGAATGAGTCAATACAACTACTTCTTTTCTAACTAATCTCCCAGTACAGGAAATGGGTTCTTAGTTAAATTTATCCTATTCCTCAGAGTTTAACTGGGCATCAATTCTTTTTTTTTTTCTTGTTCAGACAGGGTCTCATTCTGTTGCCCAGAGTGCAGTGGTGCAATCGTAGCTCCCTGTAGCCTCCAACTCTTGGGATCAAGCAATCCTCCAGCCTGAGCCTCCCAAGTAGCTGGGACTACAGGCACAGGCCACTGCACCTGGTTAATTTACTTCATTGTTTGTAAAAAGGGAGTCTCGCTTTGCAGCCTAGGGTCTAGCTTCAATTTTTGACACACAATTCACTTATCTGACATTCCAAATATTTTGCTTACTTTAAAAAAACTCCCGTCAGTAGGCTTCAAGAGGTATAACATTTTGTCTGTCTTGTTCACCGCATAGCACAGCGCCCAAAATAAGGCCTGAGAAAGTAGGCACTCCGTATTTGTTCATTGAAAGCACGATGGAACTCTTCCCTGTCCACTTCACAGACCACTGACATAAAGCACCCTCACTGAGTTTAGAAAAAAGCTCTGCCGGCCGGGCGCGGTGGCTCAAGCCTGTAATCCCAGGACTTTGGGAGGCCGAGGCGGGTGGATCACGAGGTCAAGAGATCGAGACCATCCCGGTCAACATGGTGAAACCCCGTCTCTACTAAAAATACAAAAAATTAGCTGGGCATGGTGGCGCGTGCCTGTAATCCCAGCTACTCAGGAGGCTGACGCAGGAGAATTGCTTGAACCCAGGTTGCGGTGAGCCGAGATCGCGCCATTGCACTCCAGCCTGGGTAACAAAAGCGAAACTCTGTCTCAAAAAAAAAAAAAAAAAAAAAAAAGCTCTGCCCAAGGACTGGAACTTTTCTTCCTGGTTACCTGAGTCAGTACACAAAGCTAAAGTTAATAGTAGAACCCTGAGAATGAGGCCTCCACTTTTTTTCCCCCTTTCATCTCCATGCTCCTGTTTTCTTGGTTCCTCTTGACCATTAACCCTCTTCAACTACCATTCTTTTAATACATAGCCTGTAAAATAGTCTAAATGCCTGTTTCAGAACTTCGAATTCTCTCTGCATAGGTCCCTCCCACCTCAACACCAATCTACACCTCCTCTCTTCGCCTTCTCTCATAAATCCGACTTTTCCCACTAGTTCTGTCACTGCCATTTCTCCGTCTCTTCCACTCTTACCTCGCCCTCATCCGCTCATTTTGCCTTCCCGCCTCAGTTTTTGATCTCTCTAAACCTCCCAAACCCCGGGGAGTCTCTCCTACTTCAATCCTAGTCTCTATTCTATTCGCCAACTCCTCCCACTCAGCCACCCTCACCACCACCGCGCGCGCACACACAGCCACATCAGGTCTGCCCTCCTAGACCCCGAAGTCAGCACCTCACTAGCCCAAAACTTAAGAATGAGGAAGCAGGTGATCCATGGGTTGAGTGACCCATTATCGGAAATCTGCGTGAGAGATATAAGGGACCCACCTCTGAGGCCAAGGTTCTTGCCAGACGTATCTGGCGTGGGCCTGTACAACCCTAGAATCTTAAACCAGCCGCAGCGCGAAGCTCCTAGAAACGCAGAAGTTACGCTCCCAGCGCGCCGCCATCTTGTGAAACCATTCGGCCTCATGATTGGACAAACCCTTCTCGCGCGACCTGTGGCTGAGCCTGAAGAAAGAAGAAACCGCGAGAGCTGGAGTTTGCGGCTCCTGACAGAAGGCGGGGGCGTGGTGGCAAGCGGAGTCCTTTGCGGTGTGGCAGGTGGAGGACCTGCCTTCGAATTCGCGGGAAAACGTATTTAAAAGAAAAAGAAACAAGTTTCCCGGACCCTGCTGCAGACTTACCTGTCACCCTCACTGGGATTGGGTAGGTTATGAAGATGAGGGAAGGAGACTTGGGTATGATGGCGGACAGTGAGCGCTGCTAACAGGTGTGTCCTCAGGCGGTGTCTCACTGAATCGTCGGCGAAGTAAGCCTGTGAGGCGGGGAGGAGTACTCTTATTTACAGAGAAAGAACTGAGGATCAGAGAGGTGTTTTGTTTTTGTTTTTTTGAGACGGAATTTCACTCTTGTTGCCCAGGCTGGAGTGTCCAGGCTGGAGTGCAGTCTCAGCTCGCCGCAACCTCTTCCTCCCGGGTTAAAGTGAGTCTCCTGCCTCAGCCTCCTGAGTAGCTGGGTTTACAGGCTTGCACCACCACGCCCGGCTAATTTTGTATTTTTAGTAGAGACGGGGTTTCTCCGTGTTCGTCAGGCTGGTCTTTAACTCCTGACCTCAGGTAATCCGCCCTCCTCTGCCTCCCAAGGTGTTGGGATTACAGGTGTAAGACACTGCTCCCGGCCTTTTTTTTCTTTCTTTCTTTCTTTTTTTCTTTCTTTTTTTTTTTTTTAAAGACGGAGTTTTGCTCTTGTTGCCCAGGCTGGAGTGCAATGGCACGATCGACTCACTGCAGCCCCCGCCTCCTGGGTTCCAGCGATTCACCTGCCTGAGCCTCCAAAGTAGCTGGGATTACAGGCACCCCCGCCACCTTGCCCAGCTAATTTTTGTATTTTTTGTAGAGGCGGGGTTTCATCATGTTGGCCAGGCTGGTCTCGAACACCTGACCTCAGGTGATCTGCCCGCCTCGTCCTCCCAAAGTGCTGGAATTACAGGCATGAGCTACCGCGCCCGGCCGAATTAGAGATACTAAGCGATTTGTTCAAGATTTTACATTCAGAGGCTGGATGCCTTGGCTCAGTTTTGGATCCTAGTCTCTATTCTATTGGCCTATAATCCCAGCACTTCAGAAGGCCAAGGTAGGGGGATATCTTGAGCCCAGGAGTTCAAGACCAGCCTGGACAACACGGTTAAACCCCCTGTCTAAAAAAAAATAATAATAACAAAAATTAGCCAGGCGTGGTGGTGGTGTGCCAGAAGTCCAGCTACATGGGGAGCTGAGATGGGAGGCTGAAGTGGGAGGATTGCTTGAGCCTAGGAGGTCGAGGCTGCAGTGAGACAGAGCAGCCTGGAAGACAGAGCAAGATGCAATCTCCAAAAAAAAAAAAAAAAGAAAAAAGAAAGAAAGAAAAAGAAAGAAAAAATGACCTCAAGTCTACACCTGCCTCAAGCTGGAAGCTCTGTTAATACATTTCAATTTATTTTCAACTTGTTTATACTCATTTTACCCTCTAGTAAGTGGAGTGAATATAAATCTCCCCCAGTTTGGGACTGAGACAGAAAGGTTAATGACTTTCAAAAGGCATACCAGTAGTAACAAAGTGAGGGCTAAAGGCAGCCTCTGGACCTAGTACCTCTTTCCATTAAAAAAAAAAAAAAAAAAAGTCCTGTCCACATTCTTGGAATTAAAGTGAACACTTCTGGCAAACTATTGCCATAAAACTGGGAGATGGTAGGGATTAAAGAATGGAGAGTTCAGCTTTATGCAGAAGTGAGTGTCCCAGTAGTCACCCAGGGAGAGCTGAGGAGGTGTTTCCATAATTTGTTGTGTAACAGACCACCCCAACACGTAAAACTTAAAACAACAACCGGGCCAGGCGCGGTGGCTCACACCTGTAATCCAAGCACTTTGGAGGCCAAGGCGGGTGGATCACCTGAGGTCGGGAGTTCAAGACCAGCCTGACCAACATGGTGAAACCCCCGTCTTTAAATATATATATATATATATATATATTTTAAAAAGAAAAAGAAAAAAAACCAACCACCGTTTTATTTGCTCAACGTTCTGCAATCTGGGCTGTGATTAGCCAGCTGTTCTGCTGGGGGGCTTCCCAGTGGTCACAGGATCAAGTTGGGGCTGGTTCCGCTGAAAGAACTGGGCCTCTCGGCCAGACACATTGGCTCAGGTCTGTAATCCTAGCACTTTAGAAGGCTGAAGCGGGCAGAGCACAAGGTCATGAGTTCAAGACCAATCTGACCAACATGGTGAAACCCTGTCTCTACTAAAGATACAAAAAATTAGCCAGACATGGTGATGTGTGCCTGTAATCCCAGCTACTCGGGAGGCTGAGGCAGAATAGCTTCAATCCAGGAGATGGAGAATGCAGTGAGCCAAGATTGCGCCATTGCGTTCCAGCCTGGTTAACATGGCAAGACTCCATCTCAAAAAAAAAAGAACTGGGTCTCTCTCCCTGTAGTCCATATTCTCTCCCTCTCCACATGGCCTTTCTATGTAATTTGTCTAGCAGAGTAGGAAGACTTCTTAAATGTTGGCTCAGGGCTCCCAAAAGGGCAAAAGTGGAAGCTGCCAGACTTAGGTGCAGAACTAGCACCTTCGCCATACTCTTGGTTAAGCAAGTAAAAGAGCCAGACCAGATTCAAGGAGAAGGGTACCTTCCAATATTGGAAGGCATGGTTCATTTCAGAAACCATAGTAACATGGCCACAGAAAGTTTTCCACCTTTAGTTGGTAGTAGCTTTGGTACTAGATACAGTATTATATTTAGTGCATGCTGCGGAAAAGGTGATGGCCTTGGAGATATGATTGGTGGGTTTGAAGTGATTGTATTTAAGATATTTGTAACTTTCTGTTAGCTCCAAAGAGCAATCCAGTTTACCTGTAGGTCAGGCCAGAGAGACCCAAGCACTGTGCTGGGAAACCTGGCCTTTAGTCCTGCCCCACCGTTTACTAACCCTGTTATTATGGGCAGTTTACTTAAACACTTGAAGCCTCAGTGTGCTCAGTATTACAAAACAGGATAATAATTTCATAGGGTTGTGAGAATTAAAATCAAATAATGCATATAAAATAGCAGAATGTCTAGCATATAGTAAGTTCCTAATAGTAATTAGGAATAATTATTGTTCCCTATAACTTCTTTGGTCAGTTTTTTTTAAGTATTCCATAAAGATAAAACATTTTAATAATTGAAAAATTGTAAACAATTTAAATAATACATAAAGTTATCAGAAAGATAAAAATTATCTAAAATCTCACCACTCACAGCCAAGCACCATCAAATTTGGGTAACCTTACTTCTAAACCTCTATAGCTCATAAGGAAATATAACCAAACAATTGTTATATAAATAATAATATATATTAGTATATATATGTAACTACATATATATATATGCACACACACATGCACATATACTCAAATATAACTATTGGAGATTCTTCTACTTCCATCATTATAGTTCTATATTATTCTTTGTGATCGGTGCATAGGATTTCATTGAATGTATATACTAGTTTTGTTGTTGTTGTGTTTGTTTGTTTTGAGGCAGAGTCTCCCCTCTGTAGCCCAGGCTGGAGTGCAGTGGTGCAATCTCAGTTCACTGCAACCTCTGCCTCCTGGGTTCAAGTGATTCTCTGCTTCAGCCTCTCAGGTAGCTGGGATTACAGGTGCCCGACACCACACAGGGCTAATTTTTTTTGTGTTTTTAGTAGAGACGGAGTTTCACCGTCTTGGCCAAGCTGGTCTCAAACTCCTGACCTTGTGATCCACCTGCCTCAGCCTCCCAGAATGCTGGGATTACAGGCGTGAGCCACCGCCCCAGCCAGATATATCACT